AACTAAAAAAAAAAAAAAAAAAGAAAGAAATTATTCAGAGAAATACGTTTCATCACCGTTTGCAAACTCTCGAATATAAAATTTCCAAGGAATTATAATTTATAATTCACCTCGCTCGATGAAATCGAATCAACTTTTCTATTTTTCGAAATCAATAGAATATGTCGCCGCGACACCAACATCGGCGTTCATCGGCTGGAACAAAGAGAACGAAAATGCTGGAACGATCCCACGAATTTCTCTTCCCTCTCTTCCCCATCCACAATAGTCGTTGGAAAGATAAAAAGGAGGGAAATCGGTGGGACACTTTTGTCCTTCCAACGTCAAATTTATCCGTGCAAAAGTTGAAAAGAGTGGCGCGATACGATTGAAATCGTGATGATATCTCGCGAGCCACCCTTTTTCATTCATCGCTTAATTAACCCCTGATACACGCGTATTTTATTTCTCTCTCTCTTCCTCTTTCTCTCTCTCTCTTAATTAACCGTTCCTTTATATCCTCTCTATACGCCACCCTTATTAATTATTTACCTTAACCTATGATCGTACGACCCAATTTAACGATGATTAATTATCGTCGCGTTAGGGAAAGTATCGGAAAGAGGTTGCAGAGTGCCACGAGCAGTTTCCAAAGCAGCATTACTCCTCGCTTTTAATCCATTTTCGTGCCTCGAGTTTCTTATCCAGTGGTTCCCTATCTCGAGTGGTTTGAAAGCAAGCTTCTCGAAGGCACCCTTACTTTTATTTCTACGGGAATACTTTTTGCTTGTATGGGAATATTTAGTATTTGAAAAATGAAAATATTAGGTGTGTAAATAAATTCTTTTCTACGATTATAATTCCTGATCGAATTCGAAATATTATTTTATCGTTCGTGGCGCCATTCGAAAAAAGAATATTTAATCTCTTAATTATTTATCATACTTTCGAGATGGATTTAAATTTTCTTCGAGAAGAAGATATTCAATCCTGTTAACTTGATTGCTTATATAGACTATATTTAAATGCATAGAAAAAGGAAAAATATTGAAAACAAAAATCTCTATTTAAATTCTTCTTTGAACATTCGTTGTGTAGTTGCTTGTGTTTTTTTTTTATTATTATGGGAAGCTGTATATACGAATCTTATGGAATATATTATATTTATCCAATAAAAAAGTTTATTATTATATTTACTATATTAAGTTTATGTGGTTTTCCTTTTTTAGCTGGATTTTATTCTAAAGATTTAATTATTGAATATTTTTTTTTTCCAGAAAAATAAATTATTTTTCTATAGTAAATCTTATTATTAGACAATATTTACTTTTTATATTCATTTCGAATAATTTTAGTAGTTAATATAGTTAATAAGTTAATATTCATTTATAAAAATGAAGATTTTATTATAAATTGAACAATATTAATTATAATAATATTAAGAATTCCCATAATAATCCTCGATAAATTTATCGTTCAACACATGAATAATAACAACATAATAATCTCGAATATTATATATAGGATAAATTAATAAAACTTGATGTTATTATTACGAATTCGAATTGTCGTATGTGACGTCATTCGAAAGAAAAATATTTGATCTATTAATTATTTCTACTTTCGAGATGGATCTAA